TCTGGCTAATGGCACCCAATCTCCCTACAGCTCCTCCCATGTGCTGGATCATGGGTGTCTGGCTAAGGTTTCTGTCTATCTGGGTAGAAGCATTCGATCCTCCTACAGCTCCTCCCGTGTGCTGGAGCACGGCTGGTCGAATAAGATTTCTGTTCCTTGGGATACCAGCACCCCGTGCTGCTACAGCTCCTCTCTTGTCCTGGATCACGGGTAGCGGGCTAAGGTTTGTATTTGTTTGAGTACCGTCTCCCAATCCTGCTACAGCTCCTCCCGTATGTGGGAGCACAGGTGGCTGGCTAAGATTTGTATTTGTCTGACCAGTGGCTCCCCATCCTCCTACAGCTCCTCCCGTCTGCTGGGTCATGGGTGTCTGGCTAAGGTTTGTATTTCTCTGACTAGTGGCTCCTGATCCTCCTACAGGTCCTCCTCTGTGCTGGAGCACAGGTGGATGAATAAGATTTGTATTTGTCTGAGTAGTACCTCCTGATCCTCCTACAGCTCCTCTCTTGTAGTTGAACATGTCGCCTCTCTTGTACTTAAACAGGGCTGGCCGCATAATGTGTGTGTTTCTGAAGGTAGCAGCACTCCATCCTCCTACAGCTCCTCCCGTCTGCTGGATCATGGGGGACTGGCTAGGGATTGTGTTTGCCTGGGTGCTGGTACCCCATCCTCCTACAGCTCCTCCCGTCTGCTGGATCATGGGGGGCTGGCTAAGGTTTGTATTTGTCTGACTAGTGGATCCTGATCCTCCTACAGCTCCTCCCGTCTGCTGGAGCACAGGTGGGAGGCCATGGTTTGCATTTGTCTGAGTAGTACCTCCCCATCCTCCTACAGCTCCTCCCGTCTGCTGATGCACAGGTGGCTGGCTAAGATTTGTATTTGTCTGACCAGTGGCTCCCCATCCTCCTACAGCTCCTCTCTTGTAGTTGAATATGTCTCCTCGCTTGTACTTAAACAGGGCTGGCCGCATAATGTGTGTGTTTCTGAAGGTAGCAGCACCCCATCCTCCTACAGCTCCTCCCGTCTGCTGGATCATGGGGGGCTGGCTAAGGTTTGTATTTGTCTGACTAGTGGATCCTGATGCTCCTACAGCTCCTCCCGTGTGCTGGAGCACAGGTGGATGGCCATGGATTGTATTTGTCTGAGCGTTGGCTCCGCATCCTCCTACAGCTCCTCCTGTCTGCTGGATCATGGGGGGCTGGCTAGAGTTTGTGTTTGTATGGGTAGTGGTACCCCATCCTCCTACAGCTCCTCCCGCCTGCTGGATCATGGGTGGCCGGCTAGGGATTGTGTTTGTCTGTGTGCTGGTACCCCATCCTCCTACAGCTCCTCTCTTGTACTTGAACATGGCTCCTCTCTTGTTTTTTAACAAGGATTGCCGCATAATGTATGTGTTTCTCGCAGAAGCAGCACCCCATCCTCTTACAGCTCCTCCCATCTGCTGGATCGTAGGGGGCTGGCTAGCAATTGTGGTTGTCTGGTTAGTGGCAACCCATCCTCCTACAGCTCCTCCCATCTGCTGGATCATGGGGGGCTGGCTTGCAATTGTGGTTCTCTGGGTAGTGGCAACCCATCCTCCTACAGCTCCTCCCATCTGCTGGATCGTGGGGGGCTGGCTAGCAATTGTGATTGTCTGGGTAGTGGCAACCCATCCTCCTACAGCTCCTCTCTTATACTTGAACACAGCTCCCCTCTTGTAGTTGAACATGGCTCCTCTCCTGTTTTTTGACAATGATCGCCACATAATGTATGTGTTTCTCACGGAAGCTGCACCCCATCCTCCTAC